GCCGTCGTTATTGGAATAGATGACGAGGAACTTGATAAATGATCATATCATAGTATTGGCCTGAGGTAGCAAGCAGCACACAAGAGAGCGCGACGCTATCCACAGGAAAATATAAAACGGTCGGAAACATCATCTGTTGGGCGTACAAAACGTTCGGCACTGTAGCCGATCCCAGAGAGCAAGTTGACGAGCTGGATTACCAAAGTTATGACTGGATAACATAAGTTCTAGTTGGTTAGTGGATTCATTTACAGGAGAAAATGCGTAGATTTGTGGCAGGTGCATTGGGGTTAGAAGTAACTTTTTCAGCACAATTCCGAGAAAAACGTCATCGAAACGCAAATACTTTGTGAATCGGGAGGCGATGTGCATTTTGCGGGCCACTTGCATGGAGATGAAGAAATTGCCCGCTGCAACGTATGGCGGGTATTGTGCGCCCGGATAGTCGTTCCAATCGATGGCCCATTTCTTCAAATGCCTATATCGTTTGGTCCGGACGGGTTTTGCGTCCCGCCAAACGTAACCTGCGGCCAGATGCTCGCGGATGGCGATGCTTAGACCTTCGATGAAAGCAATAACATTTCTGGGATATACAAAGAAATCATCATCCACAAACATGATAACAGGTACGTTGGCACAATTGTTCACCGCCCAATCGATTCCGAACATGATTTTATAAGTATTGTTGTAGTAGTCATCAATAAAATTCTGCTGTATAACATCTCCATGGAAGGAGACTTCCATGGCAATTCGGGAAGAAACATTAGTTTGTGAATCGGGAATTGCGCCCAACAGAAAGAGTCGCACAATATGGCGGCCGCCCCAACACGACTCGTCACCCCAGCCGACACGAATTGTATCCCGGAGTAGGAAATTTCCTGGGGCGGATTTTATAAGAATGAGAAGTTCCGGAGGCTGCTGATTTTTGCGTTCAATATTGGTGCATATTTCGGCGTGCGAAATGAGTACATCGAATACGGGTTCATTGATCGGCTGTATGTCGACCGGTAAACCGGAGGAAATACGTCTCACCAATTCCGGCATGTCGATATTCAGTCGGTAATCTAGATCTTCCGAGCCGGTAAAATTCCATTTGGAAATATTGAAGTCAACAGTTGGCCCCACTGACTGTCTTTGTAACTGAATGTGGCTTGGGATTTCCCACAAAATGGAACTAACGGGAGCTTTGCCAACCGAGGGAACCTTGAGTGGACGTTCGGATCGATAAGAAAGAAATAGCGCGAATAGCTGGAACGTTACACTTGACACAAAAAGCAGCAGGATGAGAGTACGTTGACAAAAGCAGCAGGAGAATCGAGTATGGGATCCCATGGAGCGCCTAAAAGCTAAGAAAAGATACAAAAGATGAGAATACAGAAATGTAAAAATCATAGTCGTACTCGTAGCGTCAATTCGTTTGGTGACAGTTTTCAAATTTGGTTGAATGAAAAAGGCGGTTGGACTGCATTGGTCGGAAAGCTATGAAATACCGCCGAAAAATTAAAGTGGACTAATTTGAGGAAGTAACGGGCAAGTCAGTTGGGGTCTCGGCCAAAATATGGTGGTAGACCTGGTAGCAGATCAACGGACAGGGTGGTTATCACAAATAAATAGCGTTAGACGTTCGGAATATGGTTGAATGCAGTATGACGCTTGACGTTGGTGCGCCTGGGTCATTTGGATTATTCCTCTCTATCTTTTCGCTCTCTTCTTACAGCGTAGTCCCCGTATGCTCACTCAAAGCGAATTTGCTAACTCTACACAATGATCCATCTCATGTGGAACTAATTTTTACGGTGAAACACCTCAACATTACTAGCTGTTTTAACTCGCAACTGTGATGGAACCTAAGCGGATACTTCAGCCACGCTGACCCGATTGCTCTTCTGTGGAACATCAGGTCGATGCAGAATTCTCGAGGCAAGTTGAAAAGCCCAAGCCTATTCCAATCTGGTATTTCTCAACGTAGCTGTAGAGGAATTTGCAATCACACAATCTGTGTTCAGCGTTGCGTTGCCCGAAGCAGCTGGGCTTAACATCGATCGATCAACCAACCAACTCCATGACGTAGTATGGAGGCATTAAGAAATTAACTGAGAGACTTGGTCAGGCTGGTGTGCCGTTTTCAAGAACAGGGACCTCGGGATGATCCACATCAAGGGTTTCTGACATGGTGAAATCATGCGGTCAGTGGTGTTCTTGCATTCGGTTGTTAAGTTGCATTCTGGTTGTTAATTTCGTTCTATTCTGGTTAATTTAAGCCACTTCCTACTTGCTTCCATTTTCTGTACATTCCACACGACCTTAATCCTACTATCTTACCGGTGTTACTTATTGTTATGCTCGCAATGTGAGTCATGGCAACTGCATCCATCGTATTTCGGTGCTCAGGTCATAGTTAATTAAATGAACTGAAATAAAGTATGAAGTGCCATTCCAGTTGTTAGCTGTCTAGCTGTGCTACCGAAGAAGTGTGAAAGAGTAATGGAGGCAGTCGAGCAACTTGTGAGCGACCGGGAGGAAACAAACCTGCAGTTGTGTGTGAAAAGACACGTTAAATTCCACATTTAGGCCGAAAAAGAGAGCCGAGCGTCCCAACCTCACCTCAACGTCTCAGTCTCCAGTTGCACGTAACGTGCCCGCTTCAACTTCTATACAGTATGTCGTACCCAGTAGTACGTTTGTTACACAAGAGACCCAAAGCTACAGTCAGCCCACCATAGTGAGGAACCAGGCATCATACACATCGGTCGCCGCCAAGCGAACACCGGTAACTTTGACGACCAGACTGGGGAAAACTGAAGTGTCGCAGTACGGATGACCTCCGTTAGTGCCGTCCACAAATTCACCTAAAGCACGGGAGACTAAAATTTCAAAAATAGTAATTACCAGGCACAACCATAGTGTCCTAAACCTCGTGTACACTAATGTCCCCAAATCAAAATCCAATACAATTAAGGGTAAGTTGATAGTCGATCGAAAACAATGGAGCTCCACCTGTACGGTGGTCGGTGTCCATGCTGATCCTAGAACAAGAAAACGTATCTCGAGTCACCCAAACTTACCGCACTACGGTGAACCCCGATTACCTCAGGTAACCTTAAACTCGGTAGAGGAGACAGAGGCTGTGCTGCTGTCTGCAAAGCAACTCCGCAACGCCACAAGTGGTGCGCATACTGTATGACATCCCGTGTAAAGAACGTTCAGTAGATCGCAGTAACCGCGGCGGAAACCGAAAATGTGGAGATAGAAAACTAGGATTCATCACAGGGTTCCTGAGATTGCAGATTCCTCGTCGAGGATGCTCAGGTATACGAACGGGAGCAACGGCGTTACATCCGTGAAGCCTATTCTCTCAAAAATATCGTGCTCAACTCGTTAACGAGGATCCCCGGGGTCATCTATTCTCGTGGCCTTCTATGAATTGTGAAGGTGCAGACTGCCAAAGCCCAAACGCACGACTTACAATAGAAGATTAAAGACGGGGAAAAAGCAGTTGCGAGAAGACAAACGAGGTACATGGGATAGGATTTCGTGGATTTATAAAGTCCTTCTGCTAAATGATGAAACAGTAAATGTGGAAAACGATCATTGGTTGAACCAATATCACAATTATGAGATAAGGGAATCATATTCGAGCCGAAATGCTGGATGCTGTATCGGACCGCCCTCGTTAGGGTCCGCGTCCCCTAACAGCTAACCACGATGGGTGCGATGCCAAGCTGTTGAAACTAGTGTTACAGTCTGAACTAACGGCATAAACTCTTCTAGAGAAGTGAACTAAGTTCGCTAGCAGGCTGCCAACAGATTCTTCTGAAAGCAGCAGGAGCAAAACCGCGGTCTGTTGACAAGCCAATGGAGGCGTCAATCACAATCCCTCTGTAGGATCCGATGCAGTGATGGCTTCAACAGTTGACGTAGCGCTCGAGCGGACACAAAAGAACATGAGCGACCACTGGGATCTGGAGTATCTGATACAGAAATATATTCTAAGTTTGTATCGAGGGCCTGCTAGAGACACACACAAAAAACGATTAGCCGCCGACCTTTCGTTGATCAGCGTAAACTCATTCACGTCATTCATCACCTCCAACACGCTTTTGGTCTCCGAGAAGCTCTCCTGCATGTATACAAGGCCTACTCAGCAAATTAGCTGAATTCAGACTCCGACAAGCGTCAGCAGTTTGGGACCTTATCGCTATTGCGGAAACATGCTTGCGTGGTAAGATAACGGATGCCGAAATTGCGATAACAGATATGTCCATTGTCCGGAATGATCGAGCCAGCAAAAGTAGTGGGACAGTCCTCTACCTTCGTAATAACCTCCAATGCGAACCCATACACGATGCGGAAACGGAACTGCCGACTCCATCTGGTGTAATTTACGGCTGAGAGGGAATGACGTCAAGTTATCGAACAACCTCCACGTAGTGCCAACTGGGTGGAACGGCATTATCCCGCCCCAGTAAACGGTTAGACGGCAGTGTTCCAGGACCTGGTGGATATTCGCCCGGCAAGCGTTATTCCCATAAAAAGCCACATAGGCACCCACAAAAACAATGAGACTTGGCAAATGTGACTCGACACAAAATAAAGTCACTGAGACTTCCCTTTCCAAAGGATCCTACGCACTTCACGAACGTCCGCCGGTTCGAAGAGTTCAACTGATCTCTCTAAACGATGGAGAAGACAGTGAACAAAATCACGAATTCACTCACATTAACAAAAACCACTCACGATGTCCACTTACACGACTGGCAGCATTCGGTTTCGAATTTGCCTGTCACTGTGGGCAGCCACAGGACGCCTGCGCATACAGAGGGACCATAGATGGCTTGTGCTGCACCACCCACAGCTCCAACCACACTCCCCATATCCAGTGTAAAACCGAAGAAATAAGACCGGGAGGCATGCGGATGGGAGCCACGTTTCATCAACGGAGCCGGACCACACTCCTTCACAGCAGACAGAAGCACACTGTATTTAGGAATCAAGCGCACACACAAGGCGGTGGCTGGACCGTAGTCCGCTCCACACTGAGTGCATGGAACCACTCTTTGATCCTAACACGGCCACAAGAACCGTGCACCCTATCCTCTCCAGCAACGTCCAACCGTCTTCTGGAGCCAGTATGGACGAGGTAGTGGGTGATAGACAAGTAGGCACCATGTCAACATGCACATCAAGCTCAGCCACACCGGGGATATCAAACAACAACCAATTACTCGAAACGACGATATCTAATAAAATAGATCGAATAATGCATACAGATACGGCAACATAACTCTTCACTAAGTGAGCGTATGAAATAAGTTGGTTGCAAAAATCAGCGAAAGGTTCAATAAGTCAGAAAATATATCATAAGAAAAGGCAACAACCGCGATAAAGTTGTCAAACTTTATGGCAATTAGCTCAAGCAACGTGTAAAAGTTTATAGAATATAGTTCAGATAGGCAATAACATGAGATAAAAAAGCATTAGGGCAATATAGCAAAAACCCACTACCTGGAAGAAAGAGACTCCGCATACATGCACGTTGTTAGTAAATCGAATGCAGCGTACCTACAAACGCTGCGCCGGTTCTGCCTAACTTCCCTGCAGGACACGTCGCTTCAGTGGTGGTCCCGAGTGTCTTCGCTCATGGCTCACTAGGGCTGCCTGACTCAGGCACTCGCGACAGCATGTGCTACAACACCACGTGCTCGATGTCGATGGAGTACAACCCATCGCTGCTTGCCGCTTCCGCACTTGTCGCTTCTTCTCCGCATTCATGAGGTCTCTCTCCCCACCTCGGCAACTGTCTTCGTGCCATGCACGCCGATCAACCGCCTTCAAACTCCCATGACCTCTAATCAAGACTCAAACTTGAGAGCCTCGCTTTGATCATGTCCTGGTAACGAAGCTTTGGTTTCCCCACATGCCGCTTCCCAATACTCCGCTAACCACATAAGAGTTGCTTCGGTATCCGCGTCGAATCCATACGTCTCACACGACCGAGCCATCTCGGGTGTCTGAGTAAAAGTATGCAGTTCACTGCGGCTCACAACACCCTCAGTGACCTTCAGCATGCGCTAGCTTCTCAGCTGAAGAGCCTTCCACTCAAAAATACCGAGGCGCATCTGCAGTGCCATGCACTAGTCTGTGAACATCGTTTGCGATTTCACTGGGCCCACTATCACACAGTTCAGCTCAGCGAAACAATTATGATCCAGGCTGCGAAGTGTGGTGGATCAAATCGCCACGACCCGCATGGCCAAAATAACAATAAATAACAACGGCAAGAAAGTGAGATCAAATGCAAGCAGAATGTAATGAAAATGGAAACAAAGAGA